GAAGTCAGCTCCTGTTTTTAAACAAATATAGTGGCCCTTTGAGTAGGTAAGTACAGGATATTAAACTAAGGCAGAATTGCTCTACTGTATTAAAGCTGTTCAGCCTTTATTTCAGGTTTACAGTTGTCTCATTTACTTATCAAACCTATCTATAGACACAAGACAGAAACGCAAGCAATATTATTCCTGCTACCACACTGAGCTGAATCAACGCAACTATTTTCAGACTATGGCATTCAAAATGCTCAAGAAGCATGAAGAAACTTTGATTGCTACTTATAAACTTTAATAAAAGAACGATACCCTATCAGAACACAGTCGACAACGTTCTAGCCAATTCGTACTCCTTTTCCTCTGACAAATGTGAGTTTAACTTTGAAGATCAGCTAGTTTAATAATTCCCTCTATTAATTATATAATTAGTCATAAGACAACAGCTGCTGACACAACATCATAGCAGATTATTATGCTCTCATCTTACCTAGGAAGTTCAGAACACACCCCAGGCCAAAGACCTCCCTCAGCCCACAAAGTACTGCTTGAACAGCTCAAGGTAGCCATGAAAGCTCAAACAGAACCCAACTTTCAGAGAATCGTTTAATGCACTTATCAGAGACTTTCAGAGAATCGTTTAATGCACTTAGTGCATCAGCTTTACTAGAAAACATAGCATATCAAAGGCAGTCGCTGCTGCCTGAATCTTTTCGCTACGTTATCTATAATTTTTGGAAAATATCTCAATACTTCACTTCGGTGTTAGCGTGCAACTCCTAAGGGATGGCAGCTAGATTTTGGCACTCCAGACATTATGCCCATCTCTAATTCCCTGTGACCATATCCACACCAGTGAACTAAAGATGCCGAGCATCATGCTCTGGCACCAAGGCCTGCTCGCACACAGGAGTCCATATCCACAACATTAAACTCTCTTACCTTCCAAAAGGAAGTAGCTGCATTCAAACACCTGCTGGGCCCAGCCCAACTCTAGGCAACTCTACAGCCTGTATCATGCCAAAGAGGTGCTTGGAGGAGTGCTAATGGCACAAGCCAAAAGCCTGCCAAGGACATTTCTAACAATTTAACAGGAGACACGGCCTAGTTCCACTCGCCACGACATGCCCCTCACACTCTAAAATCAACCAGAATAGATGTAGTCTCAGTGATATTTCACAAGTCAAAAGCCCCTCTCTGTATCAGTTTCCTCACTGAAAAATGAAAAGATAAAGACTCATCCTCTGGAAAAGACTAAAATATCATTGAATAACACTGTATTAAAAAGCTTGGTATTAAGTCACCCCAAGTATTTCAGGTGACACTACAGCTTCCATTAGAACTAATAACTATAAAAGCAATAAGCCACATCTCTTTTTGTGAACACACACACACAAAGATAAATTTTGAACGCATTTCCTTTATTTTGCGCTGTAGCACAATGAAAAGACAACAAACTTTAATAAAGATGGAAAAGTGAAACTACATCTTTTGGCATGAAGTTATTTTAAAAAAACAACAAGCAAGACCTTGATTGCTGGTCATTTTTCTTTGGAAAGGAAAGAAAGAAGGGGAAGAAGGGAGGAAAACTGGGGAAAGGCCTATTGTTTAGCCTGTACAATATTCTTCTTACTAGAAACATAACTGGTGTTCAGTACTGTGTTGCTCCAAAGCAGCTGCCATTGTTACTGCATAAACTACATTGCCAATACCAAGGAGAACATTATAAGCTATTGACAACACAAGCAATACTGTAAGAGCTATCTATGGACACATGCACAAACAACTTAACACACTATCTAGTCTTTACTACAGGAACCTTTTTTTTAAATGTTTCCTGACTAATTTTAGGAGTCATATATAATGCAATAATTCTGCAAACCAGTCAAGCAACCAGAGAAGAGAGAATTTCAGAGATGATTACGAGAGATGTGAAATTGCATCTAAATTACAAAAGCTCTAACTTGACGTTCAAGTCCGTTCAGCTTGTTTGTCAGTTATTTCCTTGAAGGAAAGGTTTTCATCTGGTTTTCTATTCAAATTTGCTTCAGTAGCTCCTCCCCTCCCCCAAACCTACTAGAACTGTCTAACTCCAAATCAAGATAACTGAGGGGAAGTACATCACAGAATCACAGAATCGTTTAGGTTGGATGGGACCTCTGGAGATCATCTAGTCCAACCTCCCTGCTCAAGCAGGGACCTCTAGAGCATATTGCCCAGGATCACATCCAGACGGCTTTTGAATATCTCCAGCGAAGGAGACTCCACTACCTCGCTGGGCAACCTGTTCCAATGCTCTGTCACCCTCCCAAGAAAGAAGTTTTTCCTCAGGTTCAGATGGAACTTCCTGTGGTTCAGTTTCTGCCCGTTGCCTCTTGTCCTGTCGCTGGGCACCAC